TGCAGAAGGTTTTTCAGGCAGGAACACAGAATTGCACATAATTGGATCCTTGTGCCACTACGTATTATTAATTTGGGGTTTTTAATGCCAGTGAAAACTGTTCCTTAAGCCTTGACAGAAATCCTCTCTGGGCCTCTTCACTGAATGCCTTTTTCTTAATAGTTCTGACTGCTCATGCTAATCTGCCATGGGACAGATACCAGAGCAGCTGGTAAAAAGCACCTTGGATAGAAAAATGTAACATTCTTTGAGAGTATTTCCTTTTTAAACATCTACAGTTCTGCAGGAAACACCTGAAGTAGGACTGAAATTAGGACCTGATATGCAGGGTATGCCAATTTACAGGTGGTTTGAGCTGCTGAAGCCTCCCCTTTTGTTCTGTAATCCATATGATGCAGCCTTGTTTTTCTGGATCTGCTCATTGTGCCTCAGACACTCCACAGTTTGGTTAGATACCCAGAGGTGGCAGGTAGTCCACAAGCTAGAAAAGGAAGCTATGTCCCTCTCTCCTGCCCATGTGTTCCTGCGTGCCCCCAGAAAACCTGTCATTTTATGGATTAGTATTCTGCCAATTTAATGAGCTAGACAAAAGTGCTGGAGCCAGTGCAGGGAAGCAGGGAAGGGAAGGGGCAGGGCAGGACCGTGTCACTCAGAGCCATCCATCTGCCGGGTGGCTCAGGCAGTGCTCCAGGCTGTGCCCAAAGCAGTGAGGAAGAGCTCCACTGCACAAGTTAGGCAGCTCCAGGAAAGGTCCAGCTGTGTGACACACACAGGTGACACCCTCTTACAAATATTTGTATCTCTTCTGTACCCCAAGGAAAGGGGCTTGGACAGGTTTGCAGATGGTCAGGAAAACTACAGCCCCTCTCTCCTCCTTTGAGCGCTCTTCAGAAAGATATAACAAGTACCAGCAAGAAAGCTGCTTAGAGACTTCAGCCATAAAGTAGGGCAGAACTGGAAATTATCCTCACTGTTTCTTTCTTTTAAATTATCCCAGGTAGAATTACAAACCCATATGGACATTTGGTTCATTTAAAGAGCTTCTTCATAACTTAGATAATTACACACCCAGAGAGTGTATTCAGCAGAGAGAGCAGCTGAGATGTCCACCTGCCCTCTTCTCAAGGCAAGCAGAAACTGGACTGACAGTTCATTAGAATCTCCATATAGTAAATTTTGCAACTAAATCTTTGAATTCCAAGTCACTGACAACTGCTAAGCTAACATTATCACATATAACAGTAACAGTGGGAAGGGATAAGCCCTGGAAGAGTGGCAAAAGGGGGGGGGGGGGGGGCCAGGAAAATACATCTATCTCTGTGGTATGTCTCTGATTTAAAACAAGATTGGCTTTTTGACCCATTTTTTTCTGACTATTCTGTAGACAAGAGTGAAAAGCAGCCACAAAGCCTTGCTCTGGTCTGCTAAGGAATATATCATTTTAAAAGAAAGTGATTCAATATGAGCCTCCTTCATATATATTTAGGAATTTATAAAACATATACATATAAAAAGCCTCTCACCTCCCAGTGATAATGTGAATCACTCTAATATGTTAATGATGACCATCGTTAAGAAAGCTAATGTTAAATAATTGTTCTGTAAGAGGAACAAATCATTCAGGATATAATACGGAGCCTACAGAGAGAAAACAGACCAGCTGCCTTTTCACTGAACACTGTGGAATGCTTACATGGAAAGAGGCAGTGGATTCTGGGAAAAATTGTGTTTTGCTGGGTAATTAAAGTTGTTATGCATATTAATTTTGCCTAGTCAGGTTTAAATTTGCTACTTCTCTCAGCATGTTTGAATTTACAATGTTTGTGGCATTCTTTTATGGCTATAAAACTGCGCAGAGGTTGGTGGATAATTAGTGGGCCAAATGCTGCTGTTTCAGTCCACTCTTGGGAGAACAGAAGAGGTTGGGAAAAAAGACTCAGGCTTTTCCCCCTTTCCATTATAGCAGCTTCCCACATGAATGATAGTCTGCTGCTTTGCCCAAGCCCTTCCTCCCAAACAAATAAAAAATAAACAGAAATCCTCAAGCGGCAGATGTGCAAAATCCACGCTCAGAGGCATCATCCCGGATGCATTCAGTTGTTTCTCATAGGGCACTGATGGAACCGTGAGCTTTTGTAAATGTGGATCAAGAAAGTGGCACAGGAACTGCTCAAACATCTCTGCTGTCTGTGTACCTGTGGTAATTTTGCTTTTGGTGCCACAGTAACTGAAATCTGCTCAGGGCAGTGTTCATCACCAAAGGCGCTTTCTGAGTCTCTATAGGCAGCCTTCTGCTGACAAACATGATGAAATATTTACTCCCTACTGCATTCAGCAACAGGAGCTAAGTTTTCCTCGTGCTTGCTGCTATTATACTGAAGCCAGCTTTTTGCAGAACCAGTAGCATAGGGATGCTCTGAATGCTTGTGTGGTAGTGCTAATGTGACATAAATCAATAAGCGATGCCATTAAGTAAAGACTCCCCTAAAAGTTCTGTTCCAAAACAAGGTGAAGCACTGTTTCAAAAGAATATACAAGCATAGCTGTATTGAAAGCAGACATGCTGTATTAACAGCTTGGCTGCTTTCACAGGGAAGTATAGTGGCATAACTGTCTGTCAGGGTTTACCCAGTTTCCATTCAAGGGATATGTGGCCTTTGACCACCTGGTATCCTTTTCCAAATGCTGCCATTGCAACCTCCTGAAGTGCATCGTTATAACTGAAATAAAACAGCATTTGCTTGATGAGCAATACAACTGAACAAACCAGTCATATTAGGATAATTTTGCTTTGTTTTGCTCTCGAAAATTTGTTTAGCAAACTCAGATTTGAAACGTGCTCAGTTAAGAACATAATGGGTGTTTTACACAATCACTTTTTCTCTTGTGGTTTATAAAAACTGTGGTTATTATTCTTCATACAACTGACTGTACTCACCTCCATTTTATTGTCATGGGCACAATGAACAGTGTTTGTCTCTGGTTTCCCAGCAATTATGAGGCAGCCTTTTGCAAGAGTCTTTTAAGGCTTATGTAGGGCATTCTGTGACAGCATTCTGGAGAGCCTTGCACCAGCTCTTTGTTACAAGAAACTCTGTCAGCTACTCAGTGGCTGAGCCACATGAACCAGGCTTCTTTGTATGGCAGCAGTCGTCTCAGTCACAGTGATGGATGGGCACTGGTTTTGATCATATGCTCAAACAGAGCTCTCCATGTTCTTGGGTAATCACTTGCCTAACAACGTGCCCATTTATGATGCTTAAATACCCTGAACTGTCTTAGGGCTCCCATGACTGACTAAAATACCGTGCTCAGAGAAAGCCAAGGATAAAGGTGCTGGACTTACTTAAACTGCATGTCAGCTGGCCAATGAAGAACTAGGCAGGTGTTGTCTGTATTTAAAGACAAACCCAAAAATAAACAGTTGAATTGGTTTAACTGAAAAGTTAAGCTGAACAACTGTGTGCAGACTCCCTTGGGCTGGTTTTAATCAAGCTAATATTCACGTGACTTAACCAATCAGAACCAGTCTAAGATCAAAGCAATATAAACAATTCATCCTGAAATCAGAGTTTCCACCCAGAGAGTAGTGGTAGCTTAACCAAATTGTTTTCAGTGGAGAGCAGAGGGTTGTACCCTTGACCTGGGGAAGGCTCTAGCCTGAACTGTCTGATGACCCATTCTGGTTTCCTTACAGCTTTCATTTTCCCAACAGGAGAGTAAGATGCTCGTTTTTCTCCTACAGCTTGTCGTTGATGAGCTCGCTCATACACAGCAGTCAATGGCACCTGCTGGAGCATTTCAGTGCCTCTTGCACACTTTTGGCTAATTACCAGTCCCACTTTCATTAACGTGGCTTGCAACTGCCAAAGGCCCTTCCCGTCACACAGTCCCCAGCACCACACTGCAGCTTTGCTCTATCGTTTGGGTTTGGGAAACTTTAAACCCTTGCATGTAGAGCTGGGTAAGAACCGCCCTCCACAGAGAACTGCTCTCGTTCCATCAAGTAAAACACTGTCTTAATCTTTAATTCAAGGCTGTCTTTTGAGGATCACAGCCCCAGCTCAGGAACAAAGTGAGCCTGACAACAGTCAGAGGCAGAAGATGAAATATTAATCCATGCTTTCATGACATCCAGGCTGGATTACAGTAATTCCCTGTCTGCAGGTCTTCCCAAGGCCGCCTGCCGTAAAACACAGCTCAAACAGAAGTAAGCCATGGGATTTAACCAAGTACTGCAGGCATACATTCTACCTCCCAGCCACCAAGTTTGGGGCTTGCTTGGAGACCTCTATTCCTTCTTTATCTCCAGGTACGCTCTTCAACTGTTAGGAGCACATCCATAACTGTAGCTATTTTTAGTCACTAAAAAAAGGTCTCAGCTTCAGGATGTGTCTACCTGTCCCAGAAAGTAAAAACATGTAGAAAATCTATAAACATGGAAGGCAAAATCTTCAAACATAGTAGGCAAGCTCTGTCTCTTTCCTTCCTAAGACCATCCTCCCAGGACATTGGATGTGTGCTATATTTGTCAGGATTGAGTGGTACTTCCTGAGGGCAAGAATTAGTTAAATTGGAAAAGCAACAAAATTAGGCCCTTGTGAAGAGCTGACTGCTGTACACCAGTTGGCTAGGATATGACCAAAGTAAAGAGAATGTGTGGTTGGATGAGAGAAAGGAAACAACCACCACAGGGGAATATGGCTGAAGAAAACACTGAGGGAAGAAAACAGAATAAAGCCAGTATCACAACACGAGTCTCCAGAAGCATCAAGGCCACAGTGGTTCCTGTGTTGACACATACTGGATAGACTGGAAGGCTGGTTCCAGCCAGATTTGTTTGTTTGCTCTGTGCATCAGTCTCCCCAGCATATTCAGACAGAAATATATTCCTAAATCCCAAGTTAACTCATAAGGTCAGCTTTTGGTTATCAGGTAATGAGGGAAAATGATGAATGGGAAACCCCATAGAAAAAAAATCCCACATGATGGAAACAATGTCAATCAAGCAAACAGAGCACATGTCATTTATTGGCTTTGGAAAACCATGTAAAGTTCTTTACAGATGGTAGAGGCATGGACAGTAGGGGTCAGAGAGAAGCCTGGGGCAATCCCGATGGAAGTCTGCAGATCTCAAATGATGGTGATGCTGGACACATCCATAACATAGATCATCTGCTGCTCATGGCTAGAGGGTGGCTGAACCTCTGCAGCTTCAGAAGGCAAAGACACGCGAGAGTGCTTGTTCATTCCTCACAGTATAAAACATACTGTTAAAGGTGTCATCCTTCAAAGACCTTCAAAACATGAAAAAAACAAAGTAAATACAACTCTTGGAGTAATGGGAAACTGATAGTATCTTTGGCCTGTTTTTCACACCAAGTGCTTTCTTTCAGTAAATGAGTATTTGCTGTATAGCAAAAAGTACACTGAGAGCTTTGCCTAGAAATACAAGACTAAGAAAGCTTTGCCTCCTACACTACCATTATGCCATAATTTTCTGAAGAGTTACAGCTTTTGCTATTTAACAGTGGGCTATTTAACAGATTTATGAAGTTATGAAAGTGAAAGCCAGGTCCATGCAGTCTAAATGCCATTAAATCCCTGTGTTGCCATTTGCCATTAGCTGGGCACTTATAAAGCCTTGTGCCAGCTAAGAAGACGTATCAGGGAACAACACTTAGAAGGAATTTAAATGAACCTGGGGCAGAAGGGAGGAGGGAGAAGTGGTGGCATCAACCCAGCGGCAGCAAGTCAAACAAAGCCAAGTTCCAATTTAAGTGGTAATTCTCCACCAGTTATTTAAAAATCATGTTCATGTATGCACATGAATCTTCTTAGACAATTGTGGGTTTGCACAGACCCCAGATAGCCAGGGAAGAGCAGAAGAAAGCAGCATTTCATTCACTCATGGCCTGAAGGTCTCTCCCCTGTGCCAGAGCAGGCATGCCAGCCATGTCACAGTTATCAAACCCAGACATGTGACAATAAAGTTTGCAAAACGTGTATGAGATGCTCTGAGCACACACCGATAAATGCATAAGAAAAATAGCAGATATGTCACCAGTTTTAGTCTGGGCAAGACTGCTTTTTAATTAGTCCATGCAGTATTCAAGCATCAGCTTGTCTTTGTGCCTTTGAACTTGACTGGAAACATAGCTGAGGCAGGAGAAGTTTTGATGGGATTGTAAAAAGTTCCTAGGCACCAAGATTCATGAGTGAGCATGATGTGTGTGGGGATGTGTCCTGGGTTCAGCAGTAGCAGTCATTTTTCTCCTTCTTAGTAGCTGGTGCAGTGCTGTGTTTTTGACTTTCAGCCTGGGAACAGCGCTGATAACACCGATGTTTTAGTTAGTGCTCAAATGTTTGGTCTGACCAAGGACATTGTGAGCCTCATGCTCTGCCAGGGAGGAGGGGAAGCCAGGAGGAAGAGACAGGACACCTGACCCAAACTGACCAAAGAGGTATTCCATACCACAGCACGTCATGCCTAGGATGTAACTGAGAGTTACATGGAAGGGCTGGTTCACTGCTCGGTCGGGCTGGGTTTCGACGGGTGGTATTGTATTCTCTCCCCTTGTTATTTCCCTTATCATTATTATTATTGGTGGTAGCAGCAGTGGTTTGTGTTATACCTTAGTTACTGGACTGCTCTTATCTCACCCCATGGGAGTTACATTCTTTCGATTCTCTTCCCCATCCCTCCAGGAGTGGTGGGAGTAAGGGGGCAGTAAGAGAGTGGCTGCATGGTTCTGGGTTGCCGACTGGGCTTAAACCACGACAGGATGCCACAGGCAGCTGAGACTAAACCCTGTCACAGGCTGGAGGAAACACAACCCTTTCTCATCTAATTTATACGAAGTTACTGAACTAAATATAAAAATAAAGACTATGGTCAGTACAGTGGTCAACCACAACATGGCATGACAGCCTGTCCTTGAGTGTGCCAGCACTGGGAAGTGAGATGCCAGCAGATGGGACAGGCCCACATATTTTGCACTGCTGCCTCTGAATGACTGCAGTCCAATCGGTTTTGCTTACAAGTCCCTCCTCCTACTCCTTAGTTGGTGTTTTTTGCAGAATCTTTCCTTCTCTTTCTTTTCTCCCTTGTTGTTCCTGATGGGAAAGACTGTGAAGACAGAAAATGTCTCCCCCAAATCTGCACTGATCACATTGCTGTGACATACCAACTAACTCCAGCAGATGCTGTCAGCAAGCTGCACTGAGATAGAAGATTTGCTTTTAAGAGGCATTTCTGTCAAGTTTGCAGAGTAAAACCAAGTTCACTTCTCCTTTCACACTTGCAGAGCTTTTGCTGCACGGTTGATGGAAAGCAAAAAGCCTTCAGCTGTGTTGTTATTAATGCCAGCAAATATGGCTGAAACTACACAGGGCTCATATTCGTTGCTTGTAGCTTGTATTACCCATTAAAACTATAATGCTATCAAAGTAATATTCTCCATTTACATCAGCTCTAGCATTTTAACTTGAGTACTTATTATAAGCTATCAAAATACAGTGGCCCATAAGGAATACAAAGGTGCCATCCTTATTTAGAGACCTTTCAGAATACCAGTTCTAGGTCACAAATGCTATTTAGAATTGCTTTTCAGGGTAATTGGTACCTCTCTTCTTCCTGAAGTGCTGTGCTTTAATCTTTTCACTCTATAATCTCAGCTCCTTACGAACAGCCACAGAAATATTTGTATTTTCAGAAGACAAAGGACAATAAATCAAGAGTGAAGTTCCCGCTTGATTCTAGCTATTAAAATCATTTCAAAAGTATCTCCAGGCTGAGCAGATATCATGACTACTGCTTGTTTGATTATAGGCAAGCAATAACTATGTGAAGGAGAAACTGTAGAGCAGAAACACTAGGACTGCTTTTGTAAATTAACATGGGGTTTATATCATCCCTCAGAGAATGGCTGTGGTAGGGCTTACGTTTGTTTCTGTTGAAACAGATTGTACACTCATTACCGGGAACTGCAAAATTAGGATATATTCCCATAGTTATTAAAACCAGGTAATACTGAATTATGCAACACATATACGTAAGGATGTACATGTAGACCTGTGTGTTACAATAGTGATTTTTTCCTTCTTCCTACCTAGTAAGCTAATTTACTCTGAAGCATTTTGTTCAATTGTTTTCAAAATAACTCAGGTTTGAAATAACTACTATTTCAAAATAACTCAGGTTTTCACTCATACCATCTTTTCTTCTAAACTTGCAGTTCCAGTAAGAAGCACCCCACAGACACATGCTCCTTCTTCCAAAGAGCTCTGTTGAATTCCAGTCCCCTGTTTTCAAAATCACAGGGCCTACACAATGACAGGCTGGGGTCATATTTTGCACAACAAATTACATATCACTCCCCGTATCCAGGGCTTTACAACACATTTATAAGTCAGCAAATAAGCCAACCTTTAATAAGTGCCTTAGTAGCCTCCAAACTGCAGAACTGGAGATGGGACATAGTCATGTAGCACTGACACTCTTCTGCAGAGGAAACAACTCACATTAGGCAAAGGATCTGCCTGCAAGTCTCCTCCACCATTTTTCAGGTTGATATGCCTTATGCCGTTTGAGAAGAAAGATGTTTGGAGGTTCATACCTCATGGAAAATATCTAGTTTGACACTCCACTCCTGCAAAATAAATCTGAAGTTAACTTCAGTGATACCAAGGAATGAAGGTGACAGGACTCTTGTAAAGACAAAGTAGAAATCCTCCTTGAAAGATAGGTGGCCTGCATGGGATGGTACAAAAACATGCCTTGAAGAAACCTACATCTGTAGGAATCCTAAATCTCCCAGGAGAGATCTATTCAGATACCATTGGTAACATTTTCTATACGTTCAAGTTATAGTTTCTGCCCTTGAAGATTCTGCCTTTGAACCTGCTCCCACTGAACAAATGAATACCTGTTGCAAAGGACTGACCGTCAGAGAGTTAGGCATACCTTGCACAATGGCAGCCAGAAAAAAACCTGCATTTATAAACAGAGTGAACGTATGAAGCTAAAAGAGAGGAATATTATGAATCATAATAAATAGTCAGATCCCCCTCTATACTTTCTATAAATATTTATCTTAGAAACAATTGGCTAATGGTGAACCAGCAATTAGCATGCAAAGTAGAGCTCTCATACTATGAAGTATAGGTTTCCAGTGTGTATGCTGTAGGAGCTATTTGGCACAGTGAAAAGGAAGGCTGTGTGTTTAACAAATGGACTCATAATAAGCTCAGTTGAAAAGCTTATTTAAGGCTTCAGCCTTTCATTCCAGACCCCTCCAGCTGTCAAAATTCTCACATCAGCAGTAGGCTAATGTTTATTATGTTCTGGGTGATAAATCAGGCCCTAAAAGAGAATTTTTGCATTTGATATTCATCATCTTTTATCCAGAGAGCAGGAATTAGGTAAGGAATTAGCACAAAAAGATTTTACACATGAAAAGCTGCCTGCAAAGAGGATGTTAAAGGTGTTTAGCCAAACTGTGTGTTCCAAGGAATCCGATCTCACGTTGCTTAATGCTTCTGGGATGAATAAAATGTTGTATCTTAGTTTCTACAATTGACTGTTCTCTCTCTTTGTAGGCACATGCATACTAGAATATTAATTAGGTCTCAGTTCGACTAGACTATGTCTCAGTTCCACATTCTGCGTAAGCATACACCCAGTGCTGGCTTTTGCAGCAAGAAGAGATAATATATATTCCTTTATGCTGAGCTTTGTAGGTTAAAAGAACCGGGGTTTGTCAAAATACATTTAATTTGAAGATTTGCCTCATCTGAAGGTCTCTCCCATGCAAAAAGATTCAAGGATGTATAAATTTACAAATCAATGAATTGTACTTTCAGTATACAATTAAGCAGTGGAAATTGAGGTCACTGAACAGCATCAGAAATGGTCAGTATCCAGTTCTGAAATGCTCAGTTTCTTTTCTCTCATCATCTTTTAACAACAGCTTCATAGAGCACAACTGAATCCAATTCCCTGCTGATCCACATACTATTCTAGTTTTAATACTTGAGGGTTTACTGCTTTAGTCACAGCTCCTGTTCACTGCAGATTTAAATACATCAAAAAATAAAATGAAGTGCACAACACTTCACCAGCACATGCCCCAGTCTGCTAGTCTTCCAAGAAGCAAAGCTACAACACCTTAAGCATCCTTAACGTTCCCCATCACGTTGTTACCCATCCTACCCACCCTGCCACTGGGGACAGACCTGCTTGGAGCAGCAGCTTGGAGCTGAGAACCAGAGCTCCACTCAGCCCACGTTTCTGTGATACCTCAGTAACACACACCAGGACATCAGAGGCAGGTGAAAAAGGGTCCGTATCACAGAATCCCAGAATCCCAAGGGTTGGAAGGGACCTCAAAAGATCATCTAGTCCAACCCCCCTGCAAGAGCAGCTTAACCTAGAGTACATCACATAGGAACTTGTCCAGGTGGGCCTTGAATATCTCCAACATAGGAGACTTTACAACCCTCCTGGGCAACCTGTTCCAGTGCTCTGTCACTCTCACAGTAAAAAAATTTTTCCTGCTGTTCACATGGAAGCTCCTATGCTTCAGTTTACACCCACTGCCCCTTGTCCTATCACTGGACATCACTGAAAAAGACCTAGCTCCATCATCCTGACACTCACCCTTTACATATTTGTAAACATTGATGAGGTCACCCCTCAGTCTCCTCTTCTTCAAACTACAGAGACCCAGCTCCCTCAGTCTTTCCTCATAAGGGAGATGCTCCACTCCCTTAATCATCTTTGTGGCTCTGCGCTGGACTCTTTCAAGCAGTTCCCTGGCCTTCTTGAACTGAGGGGCCCAGAACTGGATGCAATATTCCAGATGCGGCCTAACCAAGGCAGAATAGAGGGGGAGGAGAACCTCTCTTGACCTACTAACCACACCCTTTCTAATGCACCCCAGGATGCCATTTGCCTTCTTGGCCACAAGGGCACATCGCTGGCTCATGGTCATCCTCCTATCCACCAGGACCCCCAGCTCCCTTTCCCTTCGCTACTTTCCAGCAGGTCAGTCCCCAACCTGTACTGGTACATGGGGTTGTTCTTCCCCATATGCAAGACTCTACACTTGCCCTTGTTGAATTTCATCAAACTTCTCTCCGCCCAACTCTCCAGCCTGTCCAGGTCTCGCTGGATGGCAGCACAGCCTTCTGGTGTGTCAGCCATTCCTCCCAGTTTAGTGTCATCAGTGAACTTGCTGAGAATACACTCGGTTCCCTCATCCAGGTCGTTGATGAAAATATTATCCAGCACTGGTCCCAGCACCGCCCCCAGAGGGACTCCACTAGTCACAGACCTCCAGCTAGATTCTGCACCATCGATCACAACTCTCTGCCTTCTTCCTTTCAACCACTTCTTGATCCACCTCACTACCTGATCGTCAAGCCCAGACTTCCTTAGCTTATCTATGAGGATGCTGTGGGAGACAGTATCAAATGCCTTACTGATGTCAAGAAAAACCACATCTACCGCTCTACCATCATCCATTCACCTAGTTACTTCCTCATAGAAGGCTATAAGGTTGGTCAAACATGACTTCCCCTTGGTAAAACCACGTTGGCTGCTCTTAATGACCCCCTCATCCTTGATATGTCTAGAGATGGTGTCAAGAATAAGTTGTTCCATCACCTTTCCAGGGACGGAGGTAAGGCTGACCGGTCTATAATTACCCGGGTCCTCCTTCTTGCCCTTCTTATAGACTGGTGTGACATTTGCCATCCTCCAATCCTCAGGCACCTCTCCTGTTTCCCACGACTTACCAAAGATGATGGAGAGTGGCCGAGCAATGACCTCTGCCAGCTCCCTCAGCACCCGTGGGTGCATTCCGTCTGGACCCATTGCTCCTTGTCCATGGCTCCTGTTTGTGAAAACCTGCTCTGAATGCA